GGGGGAGGGAGCTTGCCCCCTAATTAAGGTAAGTTTTTGGGTTGTGTTCTTTTTTTTCATTTTCTTCTTCCGTTAAAAACACGTGCGAATTAAATGGGTTATTTTTTTTCTTTTTATCCTTTACTGCGACACGGTTGCATGAAAAAAAATTAAACAAAGATAGACCGGTACGGGGCTCTCGTGGTCTAGAGGTTAAGGCGTTCTCCTCTCATTGACAGGTCCCGCGTTCGAATTTGGGTAGCTACGGGAAAATTTACTTCTAAAAAATTGTCTCCTTTCACCTCCTTTCCTACTCTCTGGCAATGTCGCGTCTGTCGTCTGCTTTCGTCTCCACTTTCTGCCCCCACCTCTCACCTCCTTTACCCCCTCCTCTGGGCTTCTGACTCTTTCTGCAGCCTTTCTACTGCTACTCCTTTGCTCTGACGTCTTTCAGCCACACCCCCTGATCTTCTGGTAAGAAAGATCTAGCCATCTCGGACAAGGGCGAAACATCTCAGAGGTCCCGCGTGTGCAAGTTGTGCACGTTAAAGATCTCTTGGTGGTCTAAAAATCGATAAGATCCCGTGCGCTCAACATCCCCGTGTTTTCCGGCTACATGGACAAGCAGACTTTAACGTTCGCCCGCCATGAATACATGCTTAGTTAATCTCGCATTATTTCAAACTTCATAGGCATTTATCGTTTTCTTAGGGCAACGATGGAGTGTACTTTTAATAGTGCAGGTATTTCTTTTATAGAGTGTAACAGCAGCCGATTTTGAATAAACATCAATTGCATTTTCAAGAGTTTGAAGACTTGAAAATTCTTGTCCAATAGCGAATTGAGGAGAAGCTTCCTCCATCATTTTGGCGCTTACTTCATTCCGGAAGTTGAAAGTGAAAGAGACTTCAACTCTAGTCAAGGAGAGGAGGCTAGAGAGGAGGTTATAAAGTAATGGAGGCGGCTCTGTGGGCAGCAACGCACGCCTGATAGAAGCCCCCCCTCGCAGCAGAACCATGGTCAACCTGCGCTGCGCGCTGCCTGACTCTCACACTGAAATCTAGATATAGAAGATTTTTTCTTTTTTTTAGATTAGGCAAGTCAGTACACTTTTATGTTATAAAACCCCTTTCTCTCTTTACTATTACTGGTGTCATAGTCATAGCGGCTCCATATATTTAAAAAAAATCAGTATCTGCTTAACAACAACGGTGAATAACTTCTCTGTTAAAGAAAGAAGAAGGAGGGGGGGGGGGGGAGT